AAGTTTGATGAGGACGCTGCAGTTAAGACTGAGTGCTCCAAAGGCTCTTTCACCCTCTGCACTGTGTGGGTCTCTGTGTTAATTACCATCTACTGAAAAAAAAAAAGCTTTTTAAAATAGGGCCGAGAAATGGGCAAAGCAAGATTGTTATTAGGAGTCTTTTTTTTTTTTTTTTTTTTTTGCTATGTTTCTTTAGTATAATAATAGTAGATTTCTCCTTTAGCAGTGTCAGGATAGGTTTCATCTCATCAAGTGGACCTCACATCTAAGTTAAAAAGTGGTTGTTTTACTCACATAACATTTGTGCCAATATTACACCAGTGTATCTTGTAGGCAGGTTGCTATTGTAGGTTGCAGAGTCCGTATCTGGCTGATGTTGATGATTGCCTTTCTCCTCTGGTAGTATGCAAAGTACCTTCGAGCACCATGAGCTCCAGTCAGTAGGGGTAAAGCCTCGGACTGCGCACAGCTTGACTTTTCCCTGTTGGGCCTCGTAAGTAAGTGTTGTCTTCAACAACAGGGTTGTTATCTTGTATATTTACCATTGACCTTTACTGAGTGACTCAATTTCTCTAGCCTAGCCTACCAGCCTTGAGACTCTGTTTTCCATATGATCCATTTTGTTGATGAGGCTTTTTTTCCTGAGGGTTTTATTTGGTTTGTTTTTTCATTTCTAGTATTATTTCAGTTTGGTTAGTCTTACATAATTCTCTTTATTGAATTCTGTTTTGGTATTTTGTATTGCCCTCCTTATTTCATTAATCTGTTTTTGTTCTCAGAGTATATTTATGTCTTCTTTGAGTTGTTTGTTAATCATTCCTTTAACTCTTTGTCAGGAAGATCTTCCAGGTTACTCTCATTGGATCCATTGTCACGTGATTAGCATTTTGTGGAAGAGACTTGTCTTGAATTTTTATATTACTTTTGTACCTGGACTTGGATTTGTGCATTTGGGGTCTCTTGGTTGAGTGGAGGTTGAGGGACCCGGGATTGTTTATCTGACAATGCTGGGAGGTAGAGGATCTGTGGAAGTGTTGGCCCAAGGTCCAGAGACCCCTTTCCTGTTGGTGCTGGGGGCTGCGGACAAGGTAAAAGCTCATGCCAAGTAGTCACTTCTGTAACCTGTAAACTGCTGGTGCCAAGGGCTGTTCAGGGACCATTCAGAGTCTGAGTGTTCCTGTCCATAGCAGGAGTTAGGGGAACGTTCAGTCTGTCTTTTTATTGGTGAATTGAATACATTTACATTCAAAGTCAATGATAAGCATGAATTTATACTTATCAATATAGCCTGCATAGTTTGCTTGCTTCACATAGTTTTGTCATTTTATACATCTTTTATTATATATTGTATAATACAGTAGTTTTCTAACATGCCCTGCTTTAGTTGTTTCTGCTTTCAGTACCATGTATCTGCTTCTTTGGTGAAACTTGCATATTTGTAGTTTTTCATAATGGCAGTTGTCATCCTTTTGCTTCTTTTCCTTTCCTTTTTTTCTTTGTCCTCTTTTTCCCCTTTCTTTTTTCAGCCAGGGTCTCTCTGTATATCCCTGTCTGTCCTGGAACCACGATGTTGAGCAAGTTGGCCTCCGCCTCACAGAGATCCACCTGCCCCTGCATCCAGAGTGCTCAGATAAAGGCATGTGCTTCTGTGCCCATTCCCATTCCTTCATTTCTAGCACAGGTTTCCTCACGCATTCCTTGTATAGTTGGTTTGGAAACAAAACTGATAATTCACAAATAGAATCACACGGTAGTAGAAGGTTTCTGCACTGCCAGGAGACCGGGAGAGAGAAACAGCCTGCAGAATGACAGAACACCTTCGCTATTTCTAGAATACATACGGAACTGAAAAGTAAAAAAAATAAAAAAAATAAATCTTTGCATAAATAGATGGCTGAGTGAATCGAACGATAGTTTCAAAAGAAGCATCATCAATGATTAATAAATATTTGAAGCTAGTTTCCAACATTCTTAATTGTTGTGGATATGCAAGTCACAATATCTTACTCCACTGGGACCGTCTTACATTAAGAAGAAAACAATGGCAACATAGACCAGCGAGGAAATGGAAAGGGAGAGGTATATTAACTGGCCTAGCCACTATAGGAACATTATGATGGCTTCTCAAGAAACTCAAAGTAGAACTACCGTATAATCTAGATCTCCTGGTCTGGACTCTTCCCCTTGCGACAGAGATACTTGTTCCTGTATTATTCGCCACAGCTAAGAAGCGGAACTCACCTAGATGTCTGCTACCGGATGAACAGATGGAAGAAAATGTTCTTCGTATGCACAATGGACTTTCATTTTTCTGTAGAGAAACATGAAATGATGACATTTGCGGAAAAGTGGATGAAACTGGAATTTATTATGTTAAGCAAAAAATAAGCCAGATGAGATTTTCTAGATTTTAATTTGTTTAAATGTTCATGTTAATGCAAGTGTGTGTGTGTGTGTGTGTGTGTGTGTGTATGTATGAATGCTTGTATTGCATGTAAAAATAAAAGAAACTATGAGAAAGAAAGGAAAGGAAATCTTGGGGGGGAAACCCTTGTGACATAGAGGAGAAAGGGACCATTCTCAGAAGGAGGGGAAGAAGAAGGGATTCTCAGATCAACGGGAAGAACCAGGGAAAAAGCACAGCAAGAGCAAATACGTGTGAGACCCTTACTTTGCTAATAAAAAAAAATAAACATCAATGAATTAATGTGCCAGCATACTGGCACAATGCATACTTCATGTTGGGAGTTGTGATAGTCATTGATTATTGACACGTGTCACTTAGTTCTCCATATGGCAAAGGCCAGTGTGGTCTTCACTTATGGATGAGTTTTATTCCCTGTTCTAAGTCACCCACCCTGTAATAGGGAGAGTTAGAATATTAACCGAAGACTTCAAAGTTCATATTATATTCAGTTAATAATTCTAAATTGGCCTAAGCCGATCACTTTAAAGAACCATGGATAAAAAGGATTTCTGCTCTCCTGTTTTTCTTACTACTACTATGTATTGATTGAGGTTTATGTACTGTTTACCGCTCTAGTGGGCAGCATGAACCTGGGAGAGCAGGGCCTGAAATTGAGGTGGACTAAAGTCTGATGCAGTAGACAACTTTATTTAGAGCATCAGACAGTTTATACTCTGAGGGTTAGAAAGAATCACCTGGGTAGAGTTTGCATTCACAAGAACGCGCATGACGAAAACTTGTTTTTCCATAGAGGCGTATGAATAACAACAGTTGACGTAAACTCACTCGTATCCACTGCACCTGGGAGGAGCACACGAAAAGCACATTTCAAGAACAGTTCTGTTTTGGAGAAACTGAGATCACACGACTCTTCTCTTGTTTTCTTGGAGTTTTCTCACAAGCACTCAGAATTTCCACATGGCTCCATTTGTGTACCATATTCCAAAATGTAAGGATAAAACTGTAAGTTTATGTAAAAAAAAAAAATGAGGAGTCAAAGAAGTGTAGTTACTTTTAATTAGCAAACCATAGAATTTTGACATTAATTCGTTATTTCTGAGTCCTAAGTGTATCTCATTAATAATATACGAGTAAAGGCTATATGTCTTTTCTAACCACACTGAATAGGAGTCTAGAAATATAAACAACAAAGGTATGTATATTGTAAACCTTTCTTATATCTGGAAAATTCTATGCTTTATTTTATGTATATTTAAAATGCTGTCAAGACAGAAAATATATTTTAAAGGTCTATAAAATCTTAGTGAATTTAATAATGAATTGATACTTTAATACTAAGTAAAATAAAGTAGTTGTAGGAGAAGACAAGGAACGGGGACAGGAGCCTTCCACAGGGGTCCTCTGAAAGACTCTGCCTACCAGGGTATAGAAGGAGATACTGAGACTCAAAGCCAAACGTTGGCAGAGTGCCAGAATCATTATGGAAGAAGAGGGAGATAGAAAGACCTGGAGGGGACAGGAGCTCCACAAGGAGAACAACAAAGCCAAAAAACTGGGGCCAGGGGGTTCCAACTAAGGACCATTCATGGAGAGGACCTAGACCCCCTGTTCAAAGGAAGCAAATTGGTTGCTCACTTTCCCTAGTGGGTTCCTTAGTAAGGGGAACAGGGGTTGTCTCTGATATGAACTCAGTGGCTGGCTCTTTGATTACCTCCCCCTGGGGGGTGCAGCCTTGCCAGGCCACAGAGGAGGACATTGCAGCCAGTCCTGATGAGACCTGATAAGTTAGGGTCAGATAGGAGGGGAGGAGGTCCTCCCCTATCAAAAGACTAGGGAAAGGGCATACGGGGAGAAGAGGGAGAGTTGGTGGGACTGGGAGGAGATGAGGGAGGGGGTGGCAGAGGGGATACAAAGTGACTAAATTGTAATAAATAAATAGATAAAAATTTAAAATATAAAAAAGGCACATAATAATAAAATGAAATATGGTAATAAGTTACATAACAGTGAATTTCAAAGTCCTAAGAAAGGCTTTCTTTTGTTAAGTATTTTGTTTCTTCTTCCTCGGTTGCTATTGTATTTTTCTCTTCCTTTGAGACAGTCATACTATGTAGCCCTGGGTTTCCTGGAATTCATTATGTGGACAAAGCTGACAGCACCCAGCCTGCCTCTCTCTTCTGGACTTTTAATCATTTTAAGTATTTTGCAAAGTTCTTAGATCTATGTTCTTTTTTTTTTTTTTTTCAATGCCTCGAGTTAGTTTTCATTCAGCAATTTTAAATGGCTATCTATTCCATAACACCAAAGTAAAGGGGTACACACACACACACAGAGAGAGAGAGAGAGAGAGAGAGAGAGAGAGAGAAACAGAGAGAGGTATTTGTACAAATAAAAGTGGGTAATGGAGATATATGTGTTTATCTCTTGTATTACCTTTATGTGAGGATAGAGCTGTACTTAAATTCTTGAATTGAAGTCATTTTCTCCTATCAGGCTAGATACTCAAAGATCTAATAGGTGTGACATCAACAATTACTTCTCGCTAACAATTCTCGTAATTTAACCCCTTCAGGTGAGCATGCTGATTGATGAATTGTAGACAGCTATCAAAAGCAGCAGAGGTCGCCTGGCCAAGCTTGGCCTCCAATTACAGGCTGAGCAGGAGCAGTTCTCCTCTCCCTGTCTGCCAACACATTAAAAGCCTTCCAGCAAACACTGTGGCCCCAGGAGGCCCTGCTGCTCACGGTGGGTAACACTCCGTGACTCTCGCTGGATTCAGGCAGAGACAAAAGCGTTCTACCCCACTGAAGACCTGTATAACACTGGTTCTCAGCTGAATTTCTCATCTTATCCTCAACAGCCAAGTTTGAACTGTGAGGGATAAGAATACTATCCAGAAAACAGGCCCTAAAAGGAAATCCTTTGGTGTCCTTGAAATTGGGGTTTATGAAAGTTAGCATTCGATACAGAAACGTACATTTAAAAATGAAAAGCTTCAGTTGGTGAACACTGGACTACTTCTCAAAGAAATAAAATACTGTGTACGATTCCGTTTCTAAAAACAACGCATTTGGAAAATGGCCAAGGTTTAATAGTTGACAGACAGTGGCAATAGGAATTGGAGGCTAAAAGGCCAGGTGACTGATTGATGTTCAAACTACATTTCCAGAAAAAAAAGGATATGTATTGGATAAGTGTGACACATGTCTGAGTTCACTTGGCAAAATCAATACTTAAGAATATACGGAGGGGGGGGAATGGTGAATGGGTTATTTGTCAGGACAAGATGGCTAAATGTCCTAGGCTACTCTGCTATTGCAGTGTTAGGTGAGAAAAAGAATAACTCACCTTGGCCTATAGCAGAGGAAATCCTGAAAGCTGAAGGAGTGAAAAGATTTTTATACCTGTTATTGAATATCCATGTTGCCTCTGCCAAGTTAGTATAGTTCTGTAGCTTCATAGTTTACATCTCAAAGACCTCTGATTAGAGAGATCTGAAATTCTCAGAGTACAACCCTTTTCTCTCTAAAGTGGACTGCTCAGAGAAGTCTTCCTTCTGATGACTTTTATGGGGATAGGATGAAACTCACACTTGTATTCTGATCATCCTTTATCTTACCAATTCTCCTTTGTATATAATTTTTGCTACAGACATCATCTTAAGGAGTATGGTAGCTTGTCGTGATATTCCCATAGATTCATTTTAAATGAGAGTATTACCAATAAAAAATGACCTTGTGGGATTGTGACTCAAGCTCAAATACTTTGTCTGTGTTTGTCAGCAAAGGATTCGAGGAGTGACAGTTAAGGCATCAAAGACAAACATCCCCACAGCTGAATAATCCTGTTCTTTTTAGGTTTCTGGCTTTGCTGTGAACCCTTCTGCAAAAATACTTGCTGTTGTCTTCCTCTGTGCCCAGCCAAGCCTGCACCCCCCCTGCCCTCCAGGGGGAGATGATCAGAGAACCTGTCACTGAGTTCATGACAGAGACAGCCCCTGCTCCCCTTATTAGGGAACCCACTTGGAGACTGGGTCTATGGGCTACTTCTGAGCCAGGGTTTTAGGTCCTCTCCATGCACTGTCCTTGGTTAGGGTAACTGTCTCTGCAGGGCTCCCTGGGCTCAGTTTTATTGGTTCTGTTG